GGCGCAATTGTCGTATTTACTTCTCACAAAGCCAATTTCCAACATGTAGTTGTCAAACTTTTCATTCCACTGCCGTGGAGCCTGCTTCAGACCATAGAGCGATTTGTTAAGTAGACATACCTCGTCACTCTTGAACATGGATTCGAACCCTTCTGGTGGAGATATGTAAATCTTCTCCGTTAGTTCCCCATGTAGAAAAGCCGTTTTCACATCAAGTTGTTCGAGCTCCAAGTCTTCTTGAACTACTATTGAAAGTAGTATCCTTATAGACACATGTTTCACCACTGGAGCGAAAATCTCGTGATAGTCTATCCCTTCCCTTTGAGCATACCCTTTGGCAACAAGTCTAGCTATGAATCGAGGTTCTTCAACACCAGGAGTGTCCTGTTTGTATTTGTAGATCCATCTGCTACCAATGATCCTCTGATTTGAGGGTCGCCTGACAACAGTCCATGTATCATTCTTCAGTTGAGATTCCATCTCTTCTTTCATAGCGATGCTCCACTTGTCCCAATTCGCATCAATCTTTGCTTCATTATAGTCTGCAGGTTCAACAGCATCTCTGTCTTCAGTTGTATATAGGGCCACTTTTTCTTTCTGGTAACAAACTGTATTCACCTGCAACTGCTCCCAGCATTACCACCCGATCGATTTGAATCGTTACTTTCCCGCATGAACTCTGCAGAAGAACAAAGGCGAAAGGCCACTGATTCAGATAAAAACCCTATAGACTGCAAATTTTGAAACTGTTGAATGTGAGTTTTAAGTTTGATGATATTACCTTTCCCATTTTGCTCTTGTTCTTGCATGAAATGTGGAGTTTTTGACCTTTGGGAGGGCTCTCAAACGACCATGAGAAGCTCTCCTCCCACTCTGGATTAGGACCCGTCGATATCACCTAAACAAAAGTAGAATGATACAGTTGGTGTCTCAGAGAAATATTACAGTGAACTGAAGAAGGGGCTATGACTTATGAGTCTTTTCTTACCTTGGTTTGTCTCGGAGGAGTGTTACCGAGAGTGATCTTACAAAACACGCTCGGGTTACCAACAGATTGCTTCATGTTGTTACCGCGTTTGATCGTGACCACTAGAAAATAAGCATAAGTAGGTAACACAACATTTGCCGCTAGAAGCAATACAAACCATTATTATTAGAAAGAACAACACCCCATGGGCCATGCGCCTTCTACGGCTTGTTCATAGTCCCTCCCTCCTCAATAGAGCTCTGCTTAAGTTTTATTTCACAAATGAATCCACGTTTCACCATCGGCTTCTTCTTCTTCAGTCTTTTGTCATGATCTAATACACGTTTCATCATCATCTTCGCCTTCTCCAGTCTTGAAGTTTTCCTTCAATGTTTTACCCAAAGTCAGTAAAATTCAAAATGATGCTATCCATCGACATATCACATGTGGGGTCTAGATTTGTAAATTCCAAAAAACGTATTGCTAAGAGTATTTAGAAGGAGGGAGATGCTTACATAATAGGATGCTTGGGGCATTGGGCAGTAAAATGGCACACTGAGCAAGACAAGGGAGATTCGCCCGTTTCAATGCTCTTGTCCTGAAGAACAAGTGTTGCCGTCTTATCTGAATCCATTACAGGTTCCAGTAAGGTTTTCCAGAGCCACTCTTGTGAAATAATATGCTGAAAGCTTCTTTGAAACAGGATCTCGTTCAGGATATGCCAGAAGAATTCTGTAGCCATCATCGTGTAGGTTGTGAAGTGCAACGTGTACGCATTCCAGTAGACGAACACCGGAGATGAGCATTATGGTGGCCAGAGGTGGATAATGATGGGCCCACTCGAAAAAATCCGCCTCTTCAACATTGTGGGGATGTTGTTGAAGAGCGATTCCAGTGGAAGAAAGCTCTCGCAGGACCTTGTCACCACGAAGGGTCTGTGCTAGGTCGCCAATGGCAGTGATGGTGAGAAGACCATCACTATTCAACGCAGAATCAATTCTCGGACGGACCAGACGAGGATCACAACCATCGGGAATCGGACAGCTGTCGATGTGCCACAACACCATCGTTCGCTCCTTCTCCCCTCTCTCTCTTCACTACTGAGGGTTTCTTACACCACTCAAGGTCTTCATTAAGAAGCCTATCCCACTCCTCTATGGTTTTGGGGTCATCGTTTGGAGGCGGAGGCTTAACTTTAAAACGATTCACACCTTCGTGACTAGCCTCGAGGTCCCACTCAGAAAATGCATGTTTTACACTCTTGAGATGCATGATGAGATCTTCAGAGCTTTGGGCAGCAAATCGGCATACTGCGCAATACCAGGAAGAAATATTCCTAAGGACAAGACTTGTTGTCGGATCGTCAGACCCCGAGTCCAGAATGTCTTTCCCGAGTCCAGAATCTCGACCACAATATGCCACAAGAATCCTGTGTCCCAATTTTTCCACGATTGAAAGTGTACCACCTAAGGCTTGCACTCCCAAAAAATGGGATATGAACATTATAGTAGCCCGAGCCATTTTTTCTTAGCGTTCAAATTCTGTCCCTTAACTTGTGCCTTTTTATTTTTAATAAAAAAAGGTCTTTAATAGAGTTTTTTAAATTAATTCCGGCTCAATTGATAAAAAATCAGTTTTTAATAACAATATATCGTATAGAACACCAACTATTATTTTTTTAAAATCAGTGTACAACGTGCATCTTGTAGTGTGCAAAGTTCATAAGTTTGCATCGTGAATCGTGCACAGTGCATCGTCGGTTAATGTGCCCACGGCAACTACATATTTACAACATATTATACAATGCACATTGCACGACTACACAATAATGAGTTTCTCTGAGTGATGATCGAGATGTAAACATCTGGAGTGAACCAGATAGGTTTCGTAGAGTCGTTTAGTAGTATAAATAAGTCGATGAGATAATATTGATGCAAGCTTTAGCATCCACAGTTAGTATGTTTTTATGATGTTTAGGATGCATCTCATCTTGAGTGTGAAGCGTGATGTGTGAGTCGTGCAATGTGCATATGTTCCTTGATTAGATTGTTTTCATCAAGAGTTAGTAATCATGTCTGATGAAAAACCAGATATACGTCTGGGTAAATAATTAACTTTTAGCTTCACGCGACATACGCGATATAGGGCTGAGATTATAGGAAAACTTTATATATTGTTTTGTTTTTCAATACAGTCTATAAAAAAAAGTAATTCTAGGACACCGTATGAATTCGGACCTCTCCGATTCAACTCAGAACATAGCCTCAGTAATAAAAATTCATAGCAAATCCCGAGAAGAAACTCAATTTATTGCGTATGTAGCTTACCCTTAAACCTTTTCGAAAAAGGTTCGAAAAAAGGGAGAATAACATCCTGGAAATCCAATTTTTTTCTTGATTCAAATTGAAAGTCCGTAGCACCAGTACTAAGTACTCTATAGTTCGGTTCCTTAGCAGCAATAAAAAATTCCGTCAGGCACAACCATTCAAATTTTGAATTTTTATTCATTTTTGCTTTGCCCTCTTCTCAAAATCTAAAAAGGTGATGAGTTGGAATCTTGATAGCACGTTTGTTTTGGGTACAAAATATCACGCATTCAAATTCTGTCCCTTAACTTATGCTTTTTTATTTTTAATAAAAAAGGTTTTTAATAGAATTTTTTAAATTAATTTCCGCTCAATTGATAAAATATCAGTTTTTTTTTTTAATATATCTCGCGATGCCCGACGGAAACTGCCAAAGTGCATGACAGTCGAGCACAAGGTTTCAACTTTCAACAGCATCACTTGCGACTTTGGTAAAAAACTTGCTATGTATGATATGCATAAATTAATCAAATGATAATAACTTAACTTTTTGTTTAATAATTGATTTTATTTGCTTTTTTCTGTCAACAAAATTATGCTTAAGCTTTGTTCTACTTTATGAACATTTTTTAAAAGTGTGTTTAAAATTTTCGAATCTTTTTCTTTTCTGAATTAGTTTCATACAATCATATTTGTCCCCTCAATAAAAAAAAAAAAAGACTTGTGATCTGCTTTTAATGGTGGTAGTTTACCATTTTCAACTTTGTTTGTAACGTAGGAGTTAGGCCTAAATTAAATCACTTGTACTTGAAAACATAAATGAAATTTTTATTTCTTCATTTGCAAAAAAAAATGTGTTTTTTTTAAAAAAACGTCTAAGATATCACAAAAAGTTTCAAAATAGTTTTGCAATGATTATTTCAAACCTTTTTAAATTGTGATGATGACAAATAAGAAAGCAGTTTAGATAAAAAAATAAAGAGACAATAGTTGATTCATCTACGTATGACAGAGATATAAGACATGAACTAAACTAAACATTTCGCTTAAGGAGGAAGAGTTTCGTTTAGGTCCTTATTTAAGCATTTATATACAAACAACAACAAAAACGAACGCCTAATGATAAAAGTCAAAGGCTGCTCTTGTCGTTTGCATGAGTTTTATGTATGGAAATTGGAAAAAGAGCTATATAGTTTAAGAAGAGTGAGAGGATTATCATGATTTAAGAAGAGTGAGAGGATTATCATGATTATAATCCTTGTGAGCCCAAACAAGTTTTGATATTTCATACATCTCCTAACGTTTAAAAAAAAAAAAAATCTTGGCAGTTTTGCATGCACGCCCATACAAATTGTGGCGGGTTTCCAATACATACGCTTCAATGTATGTACGTACAGTATATAGTCCATGCATGCCCTGATTAGCAGGACGTTGAGATCGATATCTGTGATTAACATTGTATTATCATATCTAAATTTCATGCAAAAGCATATATAGGACAAACGTCTCCATAATAAGTTCCGAGGGGTATTACATGTACATAAAGACATTGTAACGACTTATTATATATAGCTGAGATGCAATAACAGAAAATAAATTTCCAGCTTCATCTTCATCTTGATAGTACTGCTTTTGCTGCACCGATAGAGATCCCATCACCGGATTCAAATGTGTTAGAATTGAACATTATATTGGTTAAACAAAATCAAGTTTTTAATCATAGTACCTGGATCCACAGAAATAGCCGATATGAGGGGACCGTAAACACCTTTGTCGGGAATAGTTACAGTTCCTTTCCCCGCCGAGAACAACCGTATCTCCAAATTCCCATCTGTAATCGTTACCGGAAATGTCTTAACAACAAGTTTTCCGACACCGTTTGCCTCCTCTACGATGTTGAAATCCTTCAACATGAGCTTTCCCTGGCATTATATCGATGCATCAATAAACTTTGGCGAGAGATATCGATCAAATTCACACTTTAATGACTCCTTCGAGTTACCTGAATGTATATGTCGAAGATGCGTCTACCCAAACTCTTGTAAGTTTGGTTACCACTGAACATGATCTCGGCAAAATGGAGATTCACATCGTAATTTCCATTTACGATACACATTGCATAATAAGTGAATGAGACGGGTGAGAGGCGAGCTTGTCCATACAGTCGAGGATCTATCATCTTGAGCTCCGATGTATTATTCCAAATAGTTACTCCCTCGGGAACTCGATGATCATCTATAAAGTTGGCCGTGTTGCTTGAAACCCAACCATTTATTGTGCTTTCGAAATAATGTGGGGCTCTATCATACATATCAGCTTGGTACTTAGTACCATTGATTATCACATCCTCTCCACCACAGTTTATATGAAGACCATAGAAACCTGAAACAACGTAGAGAATGATGAGTCATGGTGTAAATTAAGGGACCAGGTTTATTTGTTTATATGCGTCATCTTCTTACTTTTAGGGCATTGGAAATTCTTCAAACACACTTTTTTAGACTTCACTAAAAAATGGTTCTTCAACGATTGTCGCTTATACGTCTGTTTAGAAACCAAAAGAATCAGATTATTGTCAATACATATAAATATGTATAAGCAAACTATTAGCAATTTTTTGGGATAGAAAATATATTACAAGTCAGTCAAGTTGGTCAGTTTTGCAAATGTAGTTGGAATATCTCCGCTGAAGTTATTTGAGTTAAGAAACCTAAAAAAAAAAAAAAAAAAAAAAAAAACAATAACAATGTGACAAAACATGAATTAGATTTTACAGTTTCTACAACAAAAACAATAACAATATTGACCAACAACTCTTACAATCGCTGAAGGTTTGATAGACTCCCGAGCTCTGAGGGTAATGTGCCAGATAGCTGATTGCTATCCACGGCACTAGAATAGTAACCTCAGTCAGTACATGAACTATCTCAATCACAAATATATAAGAGAATACATAAACTCAACTCACAGGCTTCTAAGAGTAGAAATGTTTCCAAACTCTTTAGGGATTGGACCAGTTAACCGGTTTCCAAGGAGTGTTCTGTGTTCTTCAACAACATCAAATATGATAGATGAATGTGTACATGTTTATGTTACTATATATTATATAATAAAACATGTGCTTACATGTTGATGAGCGGCAAAGCTCCCCATTCCGGAGGGATTGAACCGTTGAGATAGTTCCGGGCGAGATTACTTTAAAGAAATTTGAAACAACGTTACTTTAAACAAGATGCACTAATTGGCAGATTATGGTTACACTATGCTTTGCTTACATCTCTTGCAAGTAAGGAAGATCTATAAGCTCCTTGGGGAGAGACCCTTGAAGATCTTGAGTCTTCAAAAGTCTGGAAAGCAAAGGCGAACTATTATGTGAAACACCCACCAAGCCCATCAGATTAAGGAAAAGGAAAAAAGTCGTACATGCTTGTAACATGGCATACGGTTCCATTAAGGAAAGAGCAATCGCAAGTGACAGCGTCTTCTGATCCTTCAATAGGGTTTGGATTTCTCCATCCACCTACACCTTCACATGGGTTCAAGCTAAAATTCCAAGTTGTCTTCTTTAACGTGCTCGCTATAGTCCTCAAGGCCTCCACTGCAAAATAAACAACACGCATATAGATCATAAAACACAAATGAACATGAACAGGATAAACTATACAGATAAATGGATACCTTCTTGGGTGGGCAAAGTTGCCGACAATGCAAAACCAACGAAGGGAAAAACTAAAAAACAGCAAGTGATGAGAAATCGGACTAGAATTCTTGTTTGTGACGCCATTTTCTTAGGTTATGTAAAATTTAGTTAACCTATAATATATAGAACCCTTTCCACTTATTATATAGCGCTTCTACGAAGGCGGACCTTTGACTGCAATTTATTGATTCCTTACGTTACATGTGGAATTATAATATATATGGTTTTTTTATCTTTCCATAATTTCGGGGATTTTCCTGTTTTCGTTTCCTAATTTCCAATAACTATGGTCAAAAATAGGGGTGGACACCTCGGTTTTTGGTTTGGTTTCGGTTCGGTTTTTTGGTTTTACGGTTTATCGATTTTACGAAAATTCAAACCATATAAAAACCATATATATTTCGGTTCGGTATAGTTATGTGTTTTACGGTTCGGTTTGATATGATTTGGTTTCGGTTTTTTAGAATTATACTATTACGAATTTTTTTGATTCAAACTAATGAAAATAATAATAATAATAGATATGAGTGAAATAAAACAATAAATCTAAAAAATAAAATCTAAATCATAAAAAATTCATCAATAAAGACAGATTTCAAAACAGAGAAACAAACAAATTATCAATTCTTTCATAATCAGTAATCATAAAACAATAAACAAATCTAGATTAAAATTTAATACATATAACCTTGAAACTAGAACTAGAAGACTTGAATATGAAGAAAAAGAGTTAATCACATTTTTCTTTATTGAAAAATTAAGGTTTAGTTTATTATTTATATGTAGATATTTTTTATAAATATTATATTTTAAATTTATGAGTTAAGTTAGTAAATTATAAAAATAACTAAGCCCAAAAATAAAATATATACCTAAACTAAATTAAGAAACTAGGAAAATATAAATTATTTATAATTTAGTTTAAAACCGAAAAAACCTTTTGGTTTGACGGTTTTTAACCAAACCAAACCTAAACCAAAGCTATAAAAAAATGATGACCAAATGGATTTTTAGGTTTAACCATAACCAAACCATATCACTTTTTTCGGTTCGGTATGGTTTAGTTTTTTCGGTTATGGTTTTTATGTCCACCTCTAGTCAAAAACTAAAGAGAAATAAATACAGTCAATAAACTTTTGGATTGAAAATATTGTTTATTAATTGAGTATCTCTAGCTATTCCTTTTTTTTTTAACTTGATTTGCTGTCATATCTAATAGTCCCTCCGTTTCTTTGTAAGTTATTTTAGAAATTTATCCATAGATTTAAAGAAAATTCTAAATTATCTATTGTAATCTTCTTTTTTTTATCAATTAATTTAAAAGTAAAATAATTCATTTATTAATAAATTTTCATTGATTTTTGAAAATATCAGAGTTTTTTCAAATAAAAGAAAGTTTTTAAACATCTTTTTATTAAAAACGGAAGGGGATTTGATTAAATGTGTTAAAAAAAATATTTATTAAACAAAACTCAGTTATATGTAATTTTAGATAACTTATTAACAGTATTAAAATTGAAATTTTTCTGTTAAAATTGCATACTTATATATTTCTGCAAAAATTAAAAGTCATGTTTTTACGAAAACACCTTAAATTTATGTCTTTCTTGCTTGTAATTATGTTTTTTTGTTTCATTGGGTGAAGAGTTGCAAGCAGTGGCACTGTTAATGCTGAGATGGAAGAGGCAGTCCATAGTCGTGTCAAAGAAGAGGAAGAAACTGGTATGAATCTTGTTAAGTAAATGGTGTCAAATGCTTGTGTACCTGATCTCTGCCAAAGTTTTTAGTTATATCTATGAGTCCAAGGTTTAGATTTCGGAAATCATGTTAACCCATCAGAGCCGCTTGATCTAGGGATCTGTGTAGCAGAGAACAATGTTATTATAGGCATGAGGCACCGCACATAATGACTAGTCTCAGTGAACACTATTGGAACATGAATCTCTATTGATTATCATATTATATTAGCCATAACACGATTCCTGGGCAGAGAGAGTGTGTGCGTATATAATAAACTACTTTTTCACTAGTCCAGGTTTTATGGGGTTGACTTTTGAAAAATATTGCTCTTTCAATGCATCTGTGTTACTACTCATATGCTTTCACTAATCTTCTCAGGTGAAGAGAGGAAGAGGAAGCGGGATCAAGCACATGAAGACAACGTGGCAGTCAGAGTGAAGAGAGGAAAGAATTGAGGAAGAGGGAGTTGGAAGAAGCAGAGATTTAGGCATTTCTGAGGTTTTTAAACTGCTCTTAGCCGCTAGCATTTCTGAGATTTTCTGAGATTTGGATTTTGCTCGAGCGTTATTGTACAAAAAAAAAGAAAAAAATTAAGTACGAGTAGAAACAGTCTTTTAACTCATTTAAGTACTTCTTTCACTCATTTAAGTTTAAACCTACAGAAGATGAATGAAGCACACAGGACATTACAAATGAATTGAATCACTAACAAAACAATTAAGATAAAAAAACTTCAATTGTATATCACCAAACCGGTTGACAAAAAAAATCACCAAACCATTACATAACAATACAAACTATATACAGTAGCATTACAATAAATAAAACGATGATAAAAGAATTGGCCCAAAAAAGAAACAAGTTTCGATTGAAGAACTCTCACCCAAAAAAAAATCAGAAACGAAGTGGCGTTTTTTACTTGTTAGACCACTGAAATTCGATCTCAAGGTTTCTGGGGCCACTTTTGCTTTCTGGTAACAAACTGTATTCACCTGCAACTGCTCCCAGCATTACCACCCGGTCGATTTGAATCGTTACTTTCCCGAATGAACTCTGCAGAAAAAAACAGAGACGAAAAGGCCACTGATTCAGATAAAAACCCAATATTGAAACTGTTGAATATATGAGTTTAAGTTTGATGGTATTACCTTTCCCATTTTGCTCTTGTTCTTGCATGAAATGTGGAGTTTTTGGCCTTTGGGAGGGCTCTCAAACGACCATGAGAAGCTCTCCTCCCACTCTGGATTAGGACCTGTCGATATCACCTAAACAAAAGTAGAACGATAATACAGTTGGTGTCTCAGGGAAATATTACAGTGAACTGAAGAAGGGGTTATGACTTATGAGTCTTTTCTTACCTTGGTTTGTCTCGGAGGAGTGTTACCGAGTGTGATCTTACAAAACACGCTCGGGTTACCAACAGATTGCTTCATGTTGTTACCGCGTTTGATCGTGACCACTAGAGTACCTGGCAAACACTGCAAGAGGAACTCTGCTTTCTCCTGGAACCGTGGTGGACCTGATTGGATTAGGTACTGAAGTAAAGGGATTGCATCTGCAGCTGCAACTGACTGGGCCCTGGAAACTTCAGCAGGACAGGCTGACCAAGCTTGTCTGAGAAGAAACAACGCATCCAAGGCAGCTTCTTGAGTCGCCTCTGAGCCTGTCTTGAGGGATGTTACTAGATGAGGTATACTTAGTGTTGCAGGCTCGGTGGCTCTTAGACGCGGGAAGTTGTTAAACAAAGAGTTTAAAGCTTTAAGATACTCGTCATTCACTGTTCCTGTGGCCCATAAGTCCTTCTCAATGGCAGCTGAAAATCAAAAGGAAGCAACATCTATTAATAATAAGAAAGAGCAGGTTGAAACGATGAAGAAGCAACCAAGATTTTTCTCACCAGTTATTGCTCTGACCGTCTCGCTAGATGCGTACTCTTGCACGGTGTGATTAGAGAAGAGTAGTTTTACGAACATAGCGGCCTGAACAGATGTATCCGGGTCACTGGAACTGATCAGATCCAAGACGACCTGCACACCACCTGCCTCGGCAACGGCTCTTTTGTTGGACCGGCTATACATAACAAGGTTTTGCAGAGCACATATAGCCACTACTTTCATTTCTTCTGTGGGCTGTTCTTCAAGGACGTTGACTAAAGCACGGCAAGCAGAAGCTGCGTCAGTGCTTCTCGCAAGAGCCTCGTTCTGGAAAAGATCACCGAGCGCCAAAGTTGCTAGTAATCGCGCTTGCTGAGCTTGAGTCTGTGGATCCAAGAGGTACTGGGACAAGGGCAAGATCGCAGTTTTGGTAGCTTTTGAATCTCTAATCTTCACGTTGTTGAGAAGTACCTCGAGCAGTCTTGCTGCTGTGTCCTCACACTGATGAGACCTTAGAAGATCAAGAAGAGCTTCTATCGCACCACTCTCAGCCATGGATTCTGCACTGGTTCCATCATCACTTTCCAACACTAGAAGAGTGTTAAGGGCACCAACCACTGTGTTTTCGGATGCAGAGCGAAGGAGTCTTACGAGAACAGCAACAGGGACTTCCAGGTAAAATTCAGAGCTAAATTGCAAGATGATAACCAAAATTGACGCTGCAGACTCCCACAACACATTGGAAAGGGATGGATCGGCCTGCAGTATCACCTTGGACAGCTCACTCACACCACCTTCTTTAGCTATTTCATTTGGCCATGTCAGAGCAATGCTAACGAGAGCTTTCACAGCTCTCTGCTGCAACAGGTGTATGCCAGATCCAAGAACATGGATAAGAGGACCGATCGCAAGTTGTGTTAATGGATCCTTCTGCAGATGCTCCTCATAGAGCAAATGAGACAGAAGCTCAGCTGCCAATTGCTGTACTGCTGGGGATGGAGATTCCAGTAGCGGAATTAGCGGCTCAATCACTTGGTGCGGGCTAAGTGTATAATCAGCTCGGCATTGTGGATGTTCTAAGATATTTACCAGAACTTGCAGAGCACTGTGTTGTCCATCGGCTCCAAACTCCAACCTCGTAAGCAGATTGAAAAGGGGCTCCACCACTTTCGCAGCAGATTGTCCCTTGGCAATAGTAGCGTTATTTGTAAGGATACGAAGCAGTTCTGAAAATGCAGCGCATAGAAAATCCGGAGCTTCGTGGAGAATATCAAGTACGCAA